CCCCCCCCCCAAAATAAGATGCACATCACTTAAGGAAAAAATGACTAAATGTTACTAGAGGGCATAAAATTAAAACAAAAGGATTATTAAACTCAACAGTGTAAAACCACCAATTATTCAGTAAATTCTAGCAATTTAAAACAAATTCCCAACAAGTTTATTTTTTAGGAAAACTTTTCAAGAACTCGATCCCAAATTCAAAATGAAAGAACAAAGGGTTAAGAAAGGATATGGAAGAAAAGGAGGGGGAAAAATTAAAATACTAGGGGGAAACACCCACCAGGAAAAAACCACACATACTTTAAAAACTTGGCAAATGATAGAGAAGGTATTACATCTCAGGGGGGAACAGATAAACTATCAAAATAGTAATGCTAGAACAAAAATCCATGCAGAAGAAAATAAAGTCAGATCTTGACCTCATATCGACACCATTCATATCATTAAATTCTAGATGGATTCTTAGACCTATTAAGAAAAGCAAAATGTTTAAAAGAAGACCTAACAGGAGGGCCCCTGCTGGCTCAGTCAGAAGAGCATGTGACTCTTGATCTTGGGGTCACCAGTTTGAGTCCTACGCTGGGTGCAGAGATTAAATAAAACTTTTAAAAAATACAAAAGAAAAACAAATACAAAAGAAAACATAAGAGAATACCTCTGGGACATTACAGTGCTAAACAATTTCTCATGAAAGATTAAAAAAAAATCACAATCGATAATGAAATATTATGATAAAGTTAAAACTTTTATCAGCAACAATGCAACAGAACTTTCTACAATAATGGAAACGTCTTGGGGGCGCCTGGGTGGCTCAGCTGGTTGAGTGTTTGACTTGGGCTCTGATCATGATCTTGCGGTTTGTGAGCTCGAGCCCTGCATCCATCGAGCTCTGTACTGACAGCTCAAAGCCTGGAGCCTGCTTTGGATTCTGTGTCTCCCTCTCTCTCTGCCCCTCCCCGACTTGTACTCTGTCTCTCTCAAAAATAAATAAAAATAAACATTCAAAAATGTTTTTAAAAAGTAATAATGAAAACGTCTTATGTCATCACAGTGAATACAGTAGCCACTACTAGTCCCATGAGGCTACTGAGGAACTGAATGTATAATCCCATTTAACTTTAACTAAATTGAAACTATATTTAATTTATATTAGTGACTGCTTTACTGGACATCATAGTTTTATATTAAAAACATACCATAAAGACAAAGATTAGGAGATCTTCAGAATAAAACAAAGGGTTAGTATTCTAAGCATATTTTAAATAAATCCTAAAATTGAATTAGAAAGATAAAATGATCCCAGAGAGAAATTGGTAGAGGCTATGAAAAGGTTATTCACACATAATGCAAACTGAAAGATCACTTAACAAAAGAAGGTAACCTCACTAGCTGCCAAGGAAATGCAAGATGAAACAGTAAGACACCATTTTCACACCCATCAGAT